GCCTGTCAGTGATCGGACCATACGCCGCACACTGCATCAAATTGGTCGCCCAGAAGGAAGCCTCTTCTAAAGATGCACAAGAAAGCCCGCAAACAATTTCCTGAAGACAAGCAGACTGAGGACATGGATTACTGGAACCATGCCCTGTGGTCTGATGAGACCAAGATAAACCTGTTTGGTTCAGATAGTGTCAAGTGTGTGTGGTGGCAACCAGGTGAGGAGTACAAAGACAAGTGTGTCTTGCCTACAGTCAAGCATGGTGGTGAGAGTGTCATGGTCTGGGGCTGCATGTGTGCTGCTGGCACTGGGGAGCTACAGTTCATTGAGGGAACTATGAATGCCAACATGTACTGTGACATACTGAAGGAGAGCATGATCCTCTCCCTTCAGAGACTGGGCCAGAGGGCAGTATTCCAACATAACGACCCCGAACACACCTCCAAGATGACCACTGCCTTGCTAAAGAAGCTGAGGGTAAAGGTGATGGACTGGCTAAGCATGTCTCCAGACCTAAACACCTATTGAGCATCCTCAAAAGGAAGGTGGAGGAGTGCAAGGTCTCTAACAGCCACCAACTCAGTGATGTTATCATGGAGGAGTAGAAGAGGACCCAAGTGGCAACCTGTGAAGCTCTGGTGAACTCCATGCCCAAGATGGTTAAGGCAGTGCTAGAAAATAATGGTGGCCACACAAAATATTGACAATTTGGACATTTTCACTTAGGGGTGTACTCACTTTTGTTGCCAGCGGTTTAGAAATTAATAGCTGTGTGTTATTTTTGAGTGGACAGCAAATTTACACTGTTATACAAGTTGTACACTCACTACTTTACATTGTAGCAAAGTGTCATTTCTTCAGTCTTGTCACATGAAAATATATAATAAAATATTTACAAAAATGTGTATGTATATATACATACATACATACATACATATATACACACACCTCAAAAAAATTAAAGTAACACTTTGTAACCCAGTCCTGCTGATGGGTTACAAAGTAGAGGAACAGGTAAGCACTGCCAGAGCCCGACAAAATGACTTCCATCAGGCAACTGGTGTGATTATCTCTGACCAAACAATCAGAAACAGACTTCATGAGGGTGGCCTGAAGACTTGACGTCCTCTACTGGGCCCTGTGCTCACTGCCCGGTACCATAGAGCTTGATTGGTATTTGCCATTGAACAGCAGAATTGGCAGGTCTGCCTCTGGCCCCCTGTGCTTTTCACAGATGAGAGCAGGTTCACCCTGAGCACGTGATAGCCGTGAAAGGGTCTGGAGAAGCCGTGGAAAATGTTATGCTGCCTGTAACATCGTTCAGCATGACCATCTTGGTGGTGGGTCAGTGATGGTCTGGGGAGGCATATCCATGGAGGGATGCACAGACCTCTCCAGGCTAGACAATGGCACCCTGGACTGCCATTAGGTATCTGGATGAAATCCTTGGACAGATTGTCAGATCCTACACTGGTGCAGTGGGTCCTGGGTTCCTCCTGGTGCACGAGAATGCCCAGCCTCATGTAGCAAGAACATGCAGGCAGTTCCTAGAGTACGAAGGAATTGATACCATTGAATGGCCCCCACACTAACCTGACCTAAATCCAATAAAGCTTCTCTGGGGTATCATGTTTCGGTACGTCTGATGACCCCAGGTTGCACCTCAGACTGTTCAGGAGCTCAGTGATTCCCTAATCCAGATCTCAGAGAAAATACCCCAGGACACCATGGGGTTTATTTACTAAAGCTGGAGAGTCCAAAATCAGACTCCCTTCTGCATAGAAACCAATCAGCTTCCAGGTTTCATTGCCAAAGCTTCATTGAACAAGCTGAGGTTAGAAGCTGATTGGTTTCTATGCAGAAGGGAGTCTGATTTTGGACTCTCCAGCTTTAGTAAATAAACCCCCATCTGTCGTCTCATTAGAAACATGCCTTGACATTGCCAGGCATGCATACAAGCACATGGGGGCCATATGAACTACTATCACTTTGCGTTGTTGCAATGAAATTTCAGCAAAATGGACTAGCCTGCTGCATCATTTTTTCACTTTGACTTTTAGGGCATCTTTGAATTCAGTCCTCTGTAGGTTGATAATTTTCATTTCTATCCAACGATGGGACATCCTTATGTTCCTAACACATTACCCAGTCCATATCAGTATAGATATCCAGCATTATATTTTTCCCCATTGAAATCTGATGTGTTTTCAAATTGTTCCTATAATTTTTTTTTAGCAGTATAGATCTATCTCTACATATCTATATATCTCAATATCAATCACTCAGAATCTTGTGCACCTGTGCATGATAGCCAATCAGCATTCTAACCTCAGCTTGGTAAAGCGGAGTTCCACCCAAAAAGGGAAGTTCTGCTTTAAAGACTGGTCTCCCGTTCCCCATTAAGGATTGGCACCTTTGGGGAGCGGGTAACTGAAATTGACAGGTACCCGCTCCCACTTTTGCTGCAATCGCCTAGGTGATCGGAAGCGGAAGTTGTCCTACTACCTTCGATCCCCGTAGTCTTCTGGGACATGTGACAGGTCCCAAAAGACTACAGGGCCATTCAGGAAGCACATGCACAGTGGGCATCCGACTATGAAGCCTGCAAGCTGTCACAGCCGGGTGCCCACACTGAAGATGCCGGCGCCTGGAACACAGGACAGCCAGTGAAACGAGCTGCGGGGAGGACACCGCGGGATCGTGGGACAGCTGAATGGCTGTTTTTTTAAAAGTCAGCAGCTACAGTTTTTGTAGCTACTGACTTAATTTTTTTTTTTACAGTGCGACTGCAACTCCGCTTTAAGATAAGCTTTAGCAACAAAACCTGTAAGCTGATTGGTTTCTTTGCAGAAGTGCACGAGATTCTAAGTGAAATAGCTTTAGTACATAAATCGCACTGTACATTCAAAGTATTTGGACCCCCTTCACTTTTTTCCCACATTTTGTTATGCTGCAGCCTAATACCACAGTTGTTTAAATTCATTAGTTTCTCATTAATCTACACCCCATAATGACAAAGAGAAAACAGAATTTTAGAAATGCAAATATATGAAAAATAAACTGAAATATCACATGGCATAAGTACTCAGACCCTCTGCAACAACACTTGAAAATTAGCAAAGGCTGAGATGTTTCTACACCTTGACTGGTCCACCTGTGGTACATTAAATCGATTGGACAAGATTTAAAAAGGCATACACCTCTCATAGCTGACAATGCATACTGCGTCAAGTAAAAGCCAGGAGGTCAAAAGGAACTGCCTGCAGAGCTCAAAGATAGGATTATTGCAAGGCCTGGAAGACAAGATCTGCAAGATCTGGAGACAGCTACAAAAAAAAAATATTCTTCTGCACTGAAGGTTCCCAAGAGCACAGTGGCCTCCATAAATCTCAAATGGAAGACGTTTGGCACAACCAGGAACCAGGACTCTTCCAAGAGCTGGTCGCCCGGTCATACTGAGCAATTGGGGGAGAAGGGCCTTAGTAAGAGATGACCAAGAACCTGATGGTCACTCTGAGCTCCAGATATCCTGTGTGGAGATGGGACACCATCACTGCAGCTTTACACCGATCTGGGCTTCATGGCAGAGTGGCTAGACGGAAGCCTTGCCTCAGTAAAAAAAAAAAAAAAAAAAAAACACACACACACAAAAAAAAGCATTAAAGCCTACTTGTTATTTGCAAAAACGTTTGAAAAAAAATGAAGGGGGTCTGAATACTTTATGAATGCAGTGTGTGTGTATAGACAGATGGCAATTTGTATTGAGTACTATAATTATATACTGTTTATTTCCTGTAAATAAACATTTACAGATTTTTAACTAAAACTTATGGAAACTTGTTTATTTGATTTGAAAGAGAATGCAGTGATGTATAAGAGAATGGTGATGTGCAATAATAACATGGTGCTTTTTGCAATATTGTCTTTAAAAGTGACAATAAAGCTACCTTTTTTTTTTTTAAATCAAAACATGTTATACTTACCTGTTCTGTGCAATGGTTTTGCACAGAGCAGCCCCGATCCTCCACTTCTGGGGTTCCCAGTCGGCACTCAACTCCTCCTCTTCTCCTTGTGCCACCATAAGAAGCTGCTTTGCTCCCAAGCTCTGTCCCCTGGTCACTGGATTTGACAGGAGTAGCAGCCAATGGCGTCCACGGCTATCAATCTGTCCAATGAAGGACAGATCTGGGAGAGCTGGATCAGGCTCAAGTGGGTGGGGGGTGGGGGGGGGGGGGGGCATCTTCTGGCACAAGCAGCTTTTTACCTTAATGAATAGAATGCAATAAGGTAAAAAAAAATCATAGGGATTTAGAACCACTTCAAACAAACCCAGTCTCACTCACAGCTGTTGATTTTGGTCCTCTTTCGAGCGGGTAAAAAGAATAATATAGTTTGAAAATAGTGTATTAAAATATGTCTGCTGTTTTGACACAGCAGCATCTAAGAAAGATCCTGCTTGTCTGCCACTAGTCACTCATACTCGCTAATTCAATGAAAGTCAACTCTATTCTTGACAGGCAGTTTCCATAACAGTGGCATGCCTTTCTATTGGGTGATGGTCACCAGCTTCTCCATCTCCTAGTCAACAAACACCCAGCAACACATAGTCTTTGGTACACTGTGACCTAAGGCCTGACATCATCTACCTAATGAAAATTACCATGAATTTCATTCTATAAAATCAGCAGTCCCCATTTTCAAATGCTCATTAAAGAAATAGATTTTGGTACAGGGAAAAAAACTGAGCTGCAGCATCATTTAATGTTTCAAGGTAAAAGACATCTTTGACAGCATCATTGTAGCAATAAGTTACAGTGCATTGCTAGTACACAATACAGTCCTCTTCAATAATTGTACAAAGAAAGTCCCCATTTTTTATCTTATAAAGTCTGGAAGATCAATATAAATACTGCTCCAGAAAAAAAAAAAAAAAAAAAGTTTCCATCCTGGACTCCAATGTTATTACAATGTTCTCTTCTATAGTCATCTGTAAAAACCTTTCGTTAACGTTGCAGCGACTCTAGCTTTCGTAGCTTCAGTGGTGCATTAGATGTAAAAGCAGCTTGATTTTGTTGGAAATCCTCGGTGTCTGAGGACTGGAACATTACCCGTCCTCTGTGGTTGAAGACATAAAATGAGGGATGGTTCCTTAAAGTATCAAATGTCCTTTGAAGGATAATAAAAAAAAAAAAAAATAATAATATTACTGTATGCAGATAGTTTATTGCTGAGCTTGCATGTTTTTTTTTCTGGATACACCATACAATGCATACATATATGAAACAAGCGCTACAGCAGCCAGACCATAGCAACTACAACATTTAAATTAAGTGTAGAGAAAACTGACCAATTGCTAAACACAACCAAACAAGTTGGACCACAAATGTCCAAATGAACAATCCATTCAATTTATATCCCAACAGGGAGGTCTTTGAACTTCAAAGCTGTTGGTAAATGTAGAGACTGTAACATGACTTTTAGAATGGTCTGCACTACTACATTGTAAACAGATTTTCTGTTTTCAACTTTTATTCTCAAGTAGAGACCTGAACCTGATATTGTGCTCAATAGGCAATGCAGAAATCTCTTATTTTAAATATGCTGATCAACATGGTTCACAGTTTTTAACTTTAGAAAAAAATAAAAAGGTATATTTTTGGGCTATACATGTAAACCAACAAGGATAAATGACAGAACACTACCTATTGTAGATACACAGACACCTTGCCCATTCAGAGAAACGTGACAGTTTGTATAAAGCCAACACTCAAGCTCAACCCCAGCACTGTCACATGATGGAGACTACAGTAGTGTTACCACTCCCCCCTCCTCAAAAACAGCCGACATCAGGTATTTTGGTGGAGGATGCGGTCAAGGAAGCAGCAGTGGGAAGCCCTTTAAAAAGTGATACTAAAGCTTTGGTTTTTTTTTATAAGATAATAACAAATATGTCATACTTACCTGCTTTGTGCATTAGTTTTGCACACAGCTGCCTCAATCCTCTGCTTTTTGGGCCCCCCGCCAACGCTCCTGGCTCCTCCCCCTCGAGCAGTGCCCCCATAGAAAGCCGCTTGCCCTGTGGGCACCACTGCATGCTTGCTTCCAAGCCACTGCTCTATATATCCATAAGACACATAAAGCTGCAGTTCGTCCCACTCATTCCTTGCTAGCTCACTGGCTGTGATTGACAGCAGTAGAAGCCAATGGGCTCCCGCTGCTGTCTCAGCCAATCAGGAGGGAGAGTCCCCATACAGCCTAGGCCATCATGAACATTGGTGAATCGGAGGGGGCTCAGGATTTGCGGGCCACATAGAATGCATGAAGGTTAAAAAAAAAAAAAAAAACCATGATCCTTTAGAACCACTTTAATTATAAAGTAGTTGGGGTGGGCTTTACACCGACATTCTGAATGGAATAGAGAAACAAATCTTTTCTAAACCTACTTGCTCTGGAAAGACTGCTCATGCTCTTCCATTGGTAACCCAGAAAGTTCAAAGCATAAAATATTCAACAAAAAGTACCAAACCAAAAACGGAGTCCAAATCACTTTAAATTATTCATCATATGATCACAGGGCCATTTGCGGTCTCAACATTTACTGACACATACTGTACAATTGTTGTATTTATAAGCAAACCAAAGATCTATTTGGTTATTTTACGGAGCCCTGAAATACACTGGCTGCTTTATGTGATCATGGACAATTAAAGCAATTTAAATTGCTTTACCATTAGTATGGCACTCGTGTTCTATGCTTTTAATTCACAAAACACACCAGGATAGGTGTATTTATTTTCAAATGATTAAGTTATCTTCAGCAGAGTCCAATGAGATTTGATAATTACAGTCCACAGCTTTATTATCCAATATCCTTGTGCTACAGTATCTAAACCCAAAACCAAATATGTAACAGTGAAGCTCACTAGTCCTTGGTATGGTGGCTGAATCGTGTTTTTTTTTTTTGTTATCAAGCGTTTGCTTTATTCTCAACCTGGCAATCTTTGCAAGCAACACTTTTAAAGGAGGAAGCCATGATAGTCATCCCAGGTTGCTTTCCTGTGGCCTACAAACATATCTGCTCATCTCCATTACACGGGGGACAAGGATATTGTAGATTTATTAAGATAGTTCGAAAAGAAGATGTTCTGCACAGATCACAGGAAATGGCAAGTACACTGCATTTCCGGCAGAATCAACTGGTATTTTCTCTATTTGCTGAAAATGTTCCTAAAACAAGAAAATATTGGAGCCGCCACATCTAATGACTATAAATCAGAAATATAATGCATTATTGTTCTTCGCTTCATTATCCTTTAAATTTACCTTTACGGGAAAAAAAAGAATGCACTTTTTTGCAGGTTAAAAAAATTTGCATTTACTTATTTAAGGGGCCTGTAAAGCACTGCACTGACAATCAGCATATCGCAGGTACAATCTCAGGCACCTGTAGACGGTCAGTGTAACTATCTGCCCGTACCTCCGATACAGGCAGACAGTTACTGAATGGCAGGCAGAACAATGAACTACAAGTCGTTCGCCACAATGGGTGATGGTACTTGTAGTTCATTCATTCACAGAACTCTGAATGAATGATGTGGCTGTGTAGGTGAAGCCCCACACGACCACACTCATTTTGAATTGTGACAGTGGGTGCAAGGAGAAGATCCCCAGGCCACTGTGTTAGGGAGGGGGGTGGGAGAAATCGGTGGAGAGGAGGCAGATGCTGAACATGTTACACCCTAAATATGGATGTAACAGGTTCACAAAGATGAACTTGACCTTCAAAGCTTTGTGAATTGAGCCTAATGTCATATTTAGTTATCTTTGTGTTACTGCAGCTGCAGGCCCAGCAGATACTTGCACAAAACTAATCTCTTCCAACAGAGATGTTTTTTTTTTTTTTTTTTTCATCATTGGATCTAATGAACAAAATAAAAACGTCATACTTATTCTTTAATTCTGAAGTTGCATCCATGTCTTTAAACTCTCCTGCAATGTGAACTATGCCGTAGCAGGCCACTACAAATGCCAACAAGGTTTGTAGAACTATCTGCAAGCAACAGAAAAAATGTGTTAAGAGCGGCAACATGGAATAGATCACGGTTTTTAATCTGTGAAATATACAAGAGAATTAAACAGAAAGTTGAGAGATTCATCTTGGTGTTCTCACTGAATTAAAGCTTAAGAACACACTGACAGAAACACATACATTTTGGTGCTCAGTTGACAACCAAACCATTACCCAGCTTTAAAACCAGACATATATGCATTACACCGAATTTCTGGGCTATACAACATTCTATGTCTATGTGACCCCTTCCCCACCCCTTTGCACCAAAGGGCATTATCTCTCCCAAGCTATACTAAAGTGGCAGGTGCTGCTGTCTTTGTTTGCACTTGTATTGTAATTTACTAAGGAAATGTGGTACTGTGAATATTTTTACCTGGAGCAAAACTGGCTCTGATTTATATAAACACGAGTCATTTTAAACAACTAAATTCCTTATTTCAACTGAAATAATAAATCTGACAGGTTGCCTCATTCTGTTTTGATTCTTATAAAATCAGCCCACTATGCAATGAGCAGTGTGTTAAAGACTTGCATATATTTTCCCATAAAATGATGTACACTATATAGTCCATAGACCTTTCATAGATTATACATACTATAGGTTTCCAGTGAGCACTACTGCCTTGCTGCACTCAGGTCCTGTTTCATGAAGGCAATACCCTGGTGAAAAACTTATGCTGCTGGGTTCTCCTGCTTCTTACTGTACTCTTCAAACATACTTCATAAATCAAAATTCCTCAAATTTACCTGAGCCAGACCTAAAAGACACACTTGGCATTGAAGCCTGTTCTGGCAAATATTTTTTTTATTTTGCAGTATATACTTGCCAAGCACCCTGTAACCACAATCTAAAATGTGAACTGAGCCACGAGCCTCACCTGACGTTCCACAATGTGGGGGGCTGCGCTGCTGCAGTGACCCAAACATTATTTGCAGCATATGGATGTTACCCATAAAACAAAGAGTGTTGGGTACTTTTCTACATGTGGGGCACCACAAATAACCATTTAATATTTTATATGTGGCTCATTCATTGAAAAAAACTTGTCAGCATGGTAATCTGTGGGAAGCCATAACAAACCTCTTCTTGCTTATTAACATTTGAGTACTTTGAGAAAGAAGGAAGCTGAATGAAATTAAAAGTATAAGCAGCTCTGGACAAATCCCAAAAGCCAAGTAATCAATGCTCCTTAAAATTTAAAGCTGGTGCCTACATTTTGGGCTTTTTTTTCTGGTAGTTGTCAATGGACTAGCTCCAAAAAATCCTTCTGGCTCCTAGATTGGACAGATAGGCTCTTGAACAACACATTCATTTGTCCACTCCAGGGTAAAAGAAACCATATTTTCAGATCTGCACTTAATGAACCCAAAATCACAGTACACTAATTAAAGCCAGCTTACATCTATTGGTAACGTCTCATCTTCCTTTTCAGTCAACCGCATATAAGAACGATCTGGAAGCCAAAAAACAAAGAATGCAATCAAATTAAGAAAAATGTAAAAGTAAATGCAGGAGATGTATAAAAACAGGAAATTGCAAAAAGGTAAAGAAAAACTAAAGGAATTTATAGACAAACACACACAAGCAGACTGAAGTTAGAGTAAAACCATGTATTAGAGAACTCATGTGTGTCAACAGGATAGCAGATGCATCCTGCAGACGGACACAGCTGATCACATGACCGAGCCAACATCCTCGGCTCTTTCCGTGATCAGTGATCCGCTGTGTCTGAGGGACAGCGCACCACTGATCGTCGCATGCTACGTGAGCCGCGCATGCGCGGTGAGAATGGGAGGACGTCATATGACGTCCTCCCAGAATGATAGAACCACCTTGCGTCCGTTATATTACTATATGGCGGGTGGGAGGTGGTTAAAGAATGCATTATTTGTTTACATATCATAAAATAGAGTGCAGCATACACTCAGCTCAGTACACCATTCATACATGTCAGTAAATGTCTGAGAACTTGTGAATGTGAGGTGCAATGCCTTGTGGGACATGTAGTCAGGTGAAACCAGAAGCGCCCACGAGGGACCCCAGAAGCAGAGAACCAAGGCTGCTTTGTGCAAAACCATTGCACAGAGCAGGTAAGTATGACAAGTTTGTTGTTAAAAAAAAAAATATATTATATATATATATATATATATATATATATATATATATATATATATATATATGTTTACAATCACGTTATGGGGTCTCTGCAGGGAAAACTATAACAGGGCTAATTTTGCTTTTTTAATCCCAATGACAGGTGATAAAAAAAAAAAAAAAAAAAAAAAAAAAAAAAAACCACCATGCTGCTGCTACTAAACTTTTGTCTTATGCTGGCCATACTCATTTGGATTTGGATTTTTGGACGAGAATATCTGTATGAAAATTCTTTGTACATGAATGGACAAATATAATGTGAAGATTTTACTTGCTTTTAACATGTAAATTTTAAAATGAACAATTTTTGAACAAAAACCCCATGTATTGTGCAAAAATTAATTTGACCAAGAAAATTTTTCTATTCTGCTCCTTTGATTTTTTTTTTCCATCACTGTGGTTGAAAATGAACGTCAATTGAACCCCACTACCGATTAGAACATAGAACAAACATTATTAAAATGAAAAATTTTTTAAAGAAAAATTTGTTTGTGTATGGCCAGCATTAGTGACAAGCGCTGGGAGCTTGTATCAAGATGCCTGCCTATGACAAGGAAGTCTGTGTCTGAAAATCTGCAAAACAGCGATTTAGGTCTTTAAAAAAAAATTTTTCTTCAAATAAAATTTTGATCACGATATCTGATAGCACTGTACTGCCAAAAGTATTGGGACACACAATAAAAAAAAACCCAAACCCCTCCAAATCATTGGATTCAGGTGTTATAATCACCTCCATGACCACAGGTGTATAAAATCATCACCTAGACATGCAGACTGCTTCTACAAACATTTGTGAAAGAATGGGTCGCTCTCAGGAGCTCAGTGAATTCAATCGGGGTACTGCGATAGGTTGTCACCTGTGCAATAAGTCCATCCATGAAATTTCCTTGCTACTAAATATTCCACGGTCAACGTTAGTGGTATTATAACAAAGTGGAAGCAACTGGGAACAACAGCAACTCAGCCACGAAAAATGACAGAGCGGGTCAGCGCATGCTGAAGTACACAGTGCGCAGAAGTCGCCAACTGTCTGCAGTCAATAGCTAAAGACCTCCTAACTGCATGTGGCCTTCAGATTAGCACAACAGTGTAGAGAGCTTCATGGAATGGGTTTCCATGGCCGAGCATCACTAAGTGCAATGCAAAGCGTTAGATGCAGTGGTGTAAAGCACGCCACCACTGGTCTCTAGAGCAGTGGAGACATGTTCTCTGGAGTGACAAATCATGCTTCTCTCTGGCAATACAACGGACGTGTCTGGGTTTGGCTGTTGCCAGAAGTATGGTACTTGCCTGACTGCATTGTGCCAAGTGTAAAATTTGGTGGAGGGGGATTATAATTTGGGTTGTTTTTCAAGGGTTGGGCTTGGCCCCTTAGTTCCAGTGAAGGGAACTCTTAAGGTGTCAGCATACCAAGACATTTTGGACAATTTCGTGCTCCCAACTTTGTGGGGACAGTTTGGATGGCCCCTTCCTCTTCAAACATGATGCACACCAGTGCACAAAACAAGGTCCAGAAAGACATGGATGAGCACGTTTGGGGTGGAGGAACTTGACTGGTCTGCACAGAGTCCCGACCTCAACCCCATGGAACACCTTTGGGATGAATTAAAGCAGAGACTGAGAGACAGACTTTCTAGTCTGACATCAATGCCTGACCTCACAAATGCACTTCTGGAAGAATGGCCAAACATTCCCATACACATACTCCTAAACCTTGTGGACAGCCTTCCCGGAAGAGTCAAAGCTGCAAAGGGTGGGCCAACTCAATTATGAACCCTACGGATTAAGATGCCATTAAAGTTCATGTGCGTGTAAAGGCAGGGGGCCCAATACTCTTGCCAATAATAGTACCTGTACCAGAATCAAGCTCTAATAGTATCTCTCTCTCTCTCTCTCTCTCTCTATATATATGTCTCTTCTGTCTGTTCTTCTCAGAGTGGATTAGATATTTTGTTCCCCAACTATATAACGGATTATTTATATTTCCCACTGTATATAGATATTTAAGAATAAATTGTATATTTATCCGACTAATCAAAACAATAAATCGGCCAACTAATCGATTATGAAAATAATCGTTAGCTGCAGCCCCAGAAGATATAAATCCATTTTGTGTGCACCAAACATCTTTGTAAACGAAGTTACTACCATTTAAAACAGAGCTTGACAAATTTGCATTGAATCTAGGGGCCAGCTAAAACATGTTAGGAGCCATTTTTTTTTTTAAGCTGGGGCAAGGCAACTTTTGGGCGACAAGCTTCACATGATGCAATTTGTTGTGCAACAATCGGGGCAAAACCGCACCACGTTTTAGGTGCCACTGAAAATAATGGCACCTGAACCTGCGTTTAGCGATCTTAGTGATTTTTATGCATCCCAAAACTCCAAGGTGTGAAAGGCGCCGTCCTGGTTCACACATATGGGATTCTGGGTGCATTTTCAAACTCACAGATTTGCATGACAGGCTAGATATTAGGTGTCTCTAATTAAGGTAGTTCACACAGATGCAATCCACACGCATTGCGTTTTGAGTACCATTATGTAAAAGGTCCTGTGCAAATTTGTAGTGGTGCATTCCAGACTTGCAAGTGATAAAGTGGCATGTGGAGATAATAGCAACCCTATGTGAATACTTGACAGGTATTTTTGCACTGAAGTCAATAAGAGGCAGTTGTGGAGAGAGAGAGAGAGAGAGACAAAAATCGCACCTGTACTGAAATCGCACAGAAGCTGGAATGACATTGCGATTTCAGGGCACTTGTGTAGTCGCTATGGCGACCTGTGATTTATCGAGCCCCGATTTAAAAGTAGTAGTGGCATCATCACTGTGCTGTATATAGTTCTGTAGAGAACAGAGCTGTGGGGAGGGACCCAGCAGATCCACACACTACAGGCTGACTGTAGAAAACTGCAGAAGAGGGTGCATACAAGACCAGTCACCCTGCACAAGCAGAGAGAGCAACAGCAGTCAACGGTCTTATTACAGCAAGCTCCTGCACAGAGAGAAAGTTTCACAGTGGATTACTACACAGATCTGGAAGAAATACATGAAGCACACTAAGATTCAAGCAAGGATACACATGCCTCTTGTACTTAGACAGTGTTTGCTTATCCAGAGTTTAGCTTTAATTTGTGCAGGATGGAGGTGGATGACCGACTATATAGGAAAGGAGAGTACATGAAATGAAAGGAGAGTCACCAGGGTAAGAGTGGACATCAATGGCAAGGAAGGAGATTGACCAGAGAAGAGAGCATACGCAAATGATGTGAAGGAGAATGATCATACAGGGGAGGGACATGGATAAAACCGAAGGGGAATGATCATTCAGAGGAGAGGAGGCGTCTATATAAATTGAGAATGATCATACAGAAGAGGAATGATTATACAGAGGAGGAGAGGGGGCGTCTAAATAAATTAAGGAGAATGATCATACAAAGGAGGAGAGGGGGCATCTATATAAATTAAGGAGAATGATCATACAGAAGAGGAATGATCATACAGAGGGGGAATGAATGAATGCAGGATGGAAAAGTGAAAGAATGATCACACAGGGGAATGAATATAAAGGAAGAACGACGGTCATATGGGGAGGAGAGGGGCATGGATGGATGGAAATGATCATACAAGGCAGGAGAGGGGCATGGCTGGAAAGGAAGGAGAACGATGATCATACAAGGCAGGAGAGGGGCATGGATGGAAAGGAAGGAGAATGATCATACAAGGCAGGAGAGGGGCATGGATGGAAAGGAAGGAGAATGATCATACAAGGCAGGAGAGGGGCATGGATGGAAAGGAAGGAGAATGATCATACAAGGCAGGAGAGGGGCATGGATGGAAAGGAAGGAGAACGATCATACAAGGCAGGAGAGGGGCATGGATGGAAAGGAAGGAGAACGATCATACAAGGCAGGAGAGGGGCATGGATGGAAAGGAAGGAGAACGATCATACAAGGCAGGAGAGGGGCATGGATGGAAAGGGAAGAGAAAAGGAAGATGAACGATCATACAAGGCAGGAGAGGGGCATGGAGAACGATCATACAAGGGAAAGGAAGGAGAATGATTACACAAAGCAGGAGAAAGGAAGGAGAATGATACAATGAAGGAGAGGGGCATATGGAAAGGAAGGAGAATGATCAGGGAGGGGCATGTGCATATAAGCAGGGAAAATCATATCGCTGACGCACAGGACATGCAGTTCTGGGTGCTGAGCAGGTGTTTTTTTTTTTCCCATTTACCCCTGCTGTGGCAAAGCAGCAGAGTTTACTTTATGTGGTGCAATTTTCATGTATGTTTTCAGTGCAATTGTCTAAAACAGGTCAGCAATTCAAAACTGTCTTCTAGCCACTCCTATGCAAAACTGGCTATGAATTGCATCCTATGTGAACAGTTATCTCAGAATGCCACTATACACGATTCTGTGCCAGTATGGAACGCTTCGCTCCAAACTCGCACAGGACCCCCCTTTTTTTTTTTTTTTGCATCTGAACCGCATCAGTGTGAACCAGGCACACACCCGAGCGTTTTGGGATTGCAACTTGATTTGCACTAGTCGCAAAATGCAGGTTCAGGTGCCATTATTTTCAATGGAACTTGGGGGGGGGGGGGGGGGGGGGGGGAAAAAAAAAAAAAAAAAAAGCGGTTTTGCTACGCTTGTCATGCTATTTACCATGCAGTTAACCACATCACGTGAAGCTTGTCACCCAAAAAGGAGCAGGAGCTTCATGCGATGCAATTTGCTCTGAGTAAAGAGTACCTGTCACTGCCTATAACTATCACAAGAATGTTTACATTCCTTGTCATAATAAAACTGATCAAAAGAAATTAAAGGGAAAGTGTAAAAAAAAAAAAAGTAATAAAATAAGACGCATATGTATACTACGATCGCACCACATGTGAGGTATTACAGTGAACGTTACATCAAGAGCAATAATTCTAGCACCAGACCTTCTGTGTCACTGTAAACTGGTAACCTGTAAAGGTGTTTAAAGCATTTTAGTTACCAAAGTTTGGTGCCACTCTAAGGTGGTAAGCAGTTTTAAAGCATGACATGTTAGGTATCTCTTTACTTGGCGTAACATATTTTACAAAAAAAAAAAAAAAAAAAATACAGGTATTACATAGTGTTTGTGTGCAATACAATTAAAATTTTTTCCAAAAAATTACATTTGAAAAACCACTGCCCAAATACTGTGAGACATAAAAAATGGCAATACCCACCATTTTATTCTCTAGGTTCTCTGCTGAAAATTTTATATATATATATATATATATATATATATATATATATATATATATATATATTATTATTTGTTTGGGTTCCAAGTAATTTTCTAGCACAAAAAAAAGTAAATTTTTACATACAGTGGGGAACAGAAGTATTTGAACACCCTGTGATTTTGCAAGTTCTCCCACTTAGAAATCATGGAGGGGTCTGAAACTCACATTGTAGGTGCATTTCCACTCTGAGACAGAATTAAAAAAAAAAAAAATTCAGGAAATCACATTGTATGATTCTTAAAGAATTTATTTGTCTTGCACTGCTGAACATAAGTATTTGAACACCTGAGAAAATCAGTGTTAATATTTGGTACAGAAGCCTTTGTTTGCAATTACAGAGGTCAGACATTTCCTGTAGTTCTTGACCAGGTTTGCACACACTGCAACAGGGATTTTGGTCCCACTCCTCCACACAGATCTCCTCTAGATCGTCAGGTTTCGGGGCTTTCACTGAGCAACATGGAGTTTTAGCTCCCTCCAAAGGTGTTCTATTGGATTTAGGTCTGGAGACTGGCTAGGCCACTCCAGAACCTTGATATGCTTCTTACGGAGCCACTCCTTGGTTATCCTGGCTGTGTGCTTCGGGTCGTTGTCATGTTGAAAGGCCCAGCCACGACCCATCTTCAATGCTCTGACTGAGGGAAGGAGGTTGTTGTTCAAAATCTCACAATAAATGGCCCCATTCATCCTCTCCTTAATACAGTGCAGTCGTCCTGCCCCCTTTGAAGAAAAGCACCCCCAAAGCATGAGGTTACCACCCCCATGCTTCACAGTATGGATGGTGTTCTTGGGATGCAACTCATCTTTTTCCTCCAAACACGACGAGTGAAGTTTAGACCAAAAAGTTCTACTTTGGTCTCATCTGGCCACATGACTTTCTCCCATGGCTCCTCTGGATCATCCAGATGGTCATTAGCAAACTTCAGACGGGCCTGGACATGTGATGACTTGAGCAGGGGAACCTTCCGTGCAATGCATGATTTGAAACCATGACGGCGTAGTGTTCTACTGACAGTGACCTTTGAAACTGTGGTCCCAGCTCTCTTCATGTCATTGGCCAGCTCCTCCCTTGTAGTTCTGGGCTGATTCCTCACCTTTTTTATCATCAGTGATACCCCACGAGGTGAGATCTTGCATGGAGCCCCAGTCCGAGGGAGACTGACAGTCGTCTTTAGCCTCTTCCATTTTCTAACACTTGCTCCAACAGTTGATCTATTTTCACCAAGCTGCTTGGCAATTGCCCCGTAGCCCTTTCCAGCCTTGTGGAGGTCCACAATTTTGTCTCTGGTGTCTTGACAGCTCTTTAGTCTTGCCCATGGTAGTAGTTGGCATCTGACTGACTGTGGGGTGGACAGGTGTCTTTAAAGAGCTCAGACAGGTGCTAGTAAGTTAGATTAATGAGTGGAGTAGAGGTGGACTTTTTAAAGGCACAGTAACAGGTCTTTGAGAGCCAGAATTCTTGCTGTTTCTCAGGTGTTCAAATACTTATGTTCAGCAGTGCAAGACAAATAAATTCTTTAAAAAAAAATCATACAATGTGATTTCCTGAAATTTTTTTTAATTCTGTCTCTCAGAGTGGGAATGCACATACAATGTGAATTTCAGACCCCTCCATGATTTCTGAGTGGGAGAACTTGCAAAATCGCAGGGTGTTCAAATACTTCTGTTCCTCACTGTATATGCGAGTAGTGATGAAGTGGTTAATTGAACTAATTGGGCACCACAGTGGTAAATGGTTAGCACTTCTGCCTGGCAGTACTAGGGTCATTGGTTCGAATCCCAAGCATAGCACCACCTGCCTGGAGTTTGCATGTTCTCCCTGTGCCTGCGTGGGTTTCCTCCGGGTACTTGGTTTCCTCACACACTTCAAAGACATGCTGGTAGGTTAACTGGCTCCTGTCTAAATTGTCCCTAGTATGTGTATGTATGGATGTGAGTTAGGGACCTTAGATTGTACACCCCTTGAGGGTTAGGGACTGATGTGAATGTACAATATATATGTAAAGTGCTGCGTAAATTGATGGCGCTATATAAGTACCTGAAATAAATAATAACTAATGTGCCAAGTGTTTGACTCGCTGGTGCGGTGTGGCTCCCCTGACTTGAATGAGTTTGATAGGCAGTGCCACCTGTCAACTTGATAAGCAATACTGAATTTGTGCAAAGCATCCTGGCATGTGTACAGCCCCCGGGGGGTACCATAAAACCATGGCTCAACCACCTGTGTTTACCATCCCCTGAAAGATGTGGTAAAGACATAGTTTGTGGCCTCTACAATACATACCTGGCCAAGTCCTACATTTTGTGTGGGGGAGGGGATGGTAAAGCCCCCCCATCATCATTAGTACCCCTGACATGTATAATCTAGAATGGTTCAGACTACACAGGCCCGTTGGTGATCGCTTCACTGAAATAAAACCACATTTCCCCAGTCTGCTATTTCATACACCCAATTCAGTACGAATGCTTTCTTTCCTCGTCATTGCTGTGTTGGGGTTCCTCGGTCGCCGTCACCCCCCTTGGTCGGGCAGGCCTGACGGGCCGAACACACTGTAGCGCCTTTCCTGCACCGTGTGCCCACATCCCGACTTACGCTGAGCCGCTGAGAAGGCCGCATGTGCCAAGGCAAAAAGTCCGACCCCCACCAGCCCTTTCCAGAACGAGGACGCCATTTCTTCGGAGCGCCTCCACTCCCCGATAATGCAAACAGCCGGCGGTCGCTGCCCGTTACGTCACACACCCCGGGCGACGTTTGATTACGACAGACGTATTGCCGTGCGTTCTCCCGCGTGCGTGCGCGCGCCATGCTGTGGTTGTCAGGTTTCGTTTTGAGTGTTCTTTGTTATCAGTGGCTGTGTCCTGACTGCTTTACTGTATTTTAGTAACTCTGGACAGGCACGTGAAAAAGGGCAACTGTCCAGCAGGGTAACAATAAAGCTGCAAATTTTTGTTCTCTTTTTGGCTTTGCTGTTGTAGGGTGACAACACTAAACACAGGCTCCTAATGCTGTAGTAATGCTGTCACCACATTTTGCACACGTCTGCACTGGAACTACAGGAAGCCATGCCCCTGAGGTCCTGTTGTCAGCTTGAGACACAGGCAGTCTCATCTCCCGACAAGAAAAATATGCACTCAAGAAGAGTGTACTGGCAAGGTCAATCAACAATGTTCGGCTGATCCAGTAATTACACCGACTGTGCTGCCCCTTTATATGTAATAAAAAGACATGTATACTCATAAACAACATACGCAATAAGGCACATCAAAGTCCACAATGTAGTTGAAGCAACCTGGCCACCTTGGTAAGACCCAAGCGCGAGAAGACCTTCCAAAATCTGATGCATGTTGATGAGGTATCTGAAGAAGAGGGGATTCCCCCTCGAAATGTGTCAGCCTTTTGTGAGTATACATCTGTCTTTTTATTACAAATAAAGCTACCACAAAGGTAAGGTTGGTGTGCCCTTTGTTCCTTGTTCTTGTAGCCTCAACTCCTGTCCTGTCCTGTAGCAGCACCCAAATATTGCAGAGTTCCCCTTAAAGCTTTACGATTTCTAAGCATTTGTTTGCAGAAGCAGCTCATCAGTTCACTTCCTCCCCCTCATTTCTGTGGGACAATATGTTCCAGCCTAGCAGCTGCAATTTCTGTAAAAACCACCAAGGCTAACTGTTCAGAATATATTTTAATGGTACAGAAAAGTAAAGAGGATATATATGCATTGTGACGTAATTGTTGGTATATACACCATGTATGTTGTTTTTTTCAGACACTTAGCTTTCAGACACAAGTCTGACTAAGTCCCAGCTGGTAAATAAAAAAGTTTGTTTTCCTCAAGTTTGTGTCCGGAGTTTTTTCCTGGTATTCCCAAAGTTGCCATTACAGTCCCAAGATGCAAGATTGGCTAAGGAAGGCAGTGGTGTCATCACATGCAAGGCTGAGCCCACCCCAAAGGTCTGGTCCCCAGAGATAGGAAGGAATTGAGCTGCGGCCACTTGAAGACAAAAGATGCAGATAAGGATGGGATAGAAATGCTTGCCTAAGCCCTATAGATTTCTCCTTTCCTAGGACCTCCTGTGTGTGGCTCGCTCTCCCCTTCACCATTCTCTATAACGTATACGAAAGACAAGAGTACCACAACAATAGACTATGTCCAATAGAAGTTTTATTAAACATGATACAAAAGTGGGATGCCAATGCATTTCGGGGGCTCAGAACTCCCCTTTCCTCAGGGATTATATAGATGGGAAAGCAGTCATTTCCCCTTTCCATCACTGAGTCTGGTCACCTTGGAGTCCAGCACTTCTACATCATGCACCTGCTTCTCCATTCTATAACCTGGACCAGGGGCGGACTGACCATTTGAACACTCGGGCACTGCCCGAGTGCCCGGGATCAGTAGGGGCCCCATGAAATGCTCCTGGTACCTTTTATAGGTTTTTTTTGGGTGTGCTTTGAGTGTGGGCAAGGACACAGGGGCCCCATGATCCCCTATTGCCTGGGAGCCCCATGAGTTGTCAGTCCGCCTCTGACCTGGACTGTTCTTGCAACTAAATCTAACCTGATGATGTGCCCCATATGACGTTACCTGTGACGAAACACGTAGGGTAGGAGCCACGCACACACGGTAACTGCTGCGCATGAACGAACAGCCGGTGGCCAATTTGGAAACTGGAAAATTTTGATTTTTTTGCCAATCAATGCCTCATGATATTTGCTTATATACTTTAAATAAATGTGATTATGGTTTTACACTATGTGGAGTGTTCTTTCTTTCCGTGTTTTCCATTACGAGTCCAAGCCTTATCCTGAATGGTTTAGCTACCCTAATTAAGGTCCATTGTTTGGCAGATCCTTATCTACTGATTTGGTGATCTGGAGGAGGATTCGAGTGGCCGGCTTTCTGGATTGTGCAATAAAGAGCGATTGACCACTCTTAACAGGGGTCATGCCTTTCTGGTAAGCCTTCTGTATTAGTGGTTGGTGACAGGACAACTGTCCTTGGACTTCTTTTGTTTAATCGCAGCATCTGGGACTTTTATTTTATTTTTGGATGGACTATTTTTTTACATATTTTTCACTGTTTTCTTATTATTTGTAACTTTTTAAGCGCTGCACTTTTATGTATTTATAACTAAATCTAACCTGTTCAGGAAAGAAACTGGCTCATGGTTACATCACTACTCACTAAGACCTGCTTCACACCTTTTGCATTTTTATGTGCATTTTGGACCACTCAAAAACGCATGTGCCTTAAAAATACATTGAATCCAATGAGGTTGTTCACATTTGTGTTCTGTATTGTGCTGCATTTGTAAAAATTCTGTGTATTTGCATGCATTCTGATTCCCAATAGAAAAAGGAAATTGCTTGAAAGCTTGTGTACAACACACATTAAAAATGGACAAAAAAAGGACAAAAGCGCAGACAGATAGATGTGAACCTGGCCTAATGTCTACAACCACCCTCTCATTTCTCTAGAAGCAAAAATTCAGCAATCTGCAACCTGTAACAGAAGAGGATGAATACTTCCTGGTGGGTGGAGGATCTATTATTTCTTGTTTTGCAGAGCTACTAGTACTGCTGCCATCTGACACTTCCAGGTGTATTGGATAGCAGGTTTGCTACTGGGCACAATGATTCCTCCCACGAGCCACTGAGTCAGTACTTTCTGAGACACTGACCCAAAACAAGTATTCAGACCAGGAGTTCTGACTTTGCTGTCAGTTTCCAATCTGAATTCCCGTTCCAGGTCTGTGATTCAGAAAGTACTGAAGTCAGAAACATCCAGGCAAACTAGTATTTCTTGAAGTCAGACAGCTTGCTTTTGGTTAGGTTTAATAGCCACTGGGATTGTTTGTTAATATGTAAAAGAAAAAAAAGACCAAACATTTTGAAAAACTTTCACTTACTGATAAAATAAAAACACCAGGACAGTACAAACACCCCATAAGGACCCCTTTTTTATCCCAAGATAATAGTTTTTTTTTTTAGCTCTGATGAAGAAGGGATATCCTTCGAAACGTGTCAGCCGTACTCTGAGTGTCTACCCCTACGATGTGACTCACATAGGCTTCACATTTCTAAAGTTCCTTTGAGGACTTACATGCTTGATTTACTTCATTGTTTGTGAGTATCAGTCTGAATTTAATAAAATTATGGTTTACTGAGGTAATGTGCAAGGTTGGTGCGCTTTCTTTCTTGTTTCACTTTGCAGTACTGGTCGGGCTTCCCCAGCCTTGTTTAGAGCTGCACAACCCTATATGCATTTGTGGTCGAATTTTTCAAGTTGTGGTTCCATCCATCCACCCTTATTCTGGGTCATAGAGCGCAGGAGAGGTCGTTTTTGGTTCTATTGGTTCTTGGTAATGTACTGACTAGATCAGCAATGGGCAAACTACGGCCCGCGGGCGGTACGGCCCGGCGGGACCTTTTAATCCGGCCCGCGGAGCTAGGCTCCCCTCACAGTCCGCCCTGAAGACCGGTGTAGCATGAAAATCTGTCTCCTATGAGGATCTGTCCCCCTCGACGTATCTGCGCATGTGCCGGAGATCGCCGATCAGCTGCTAATGCCTGAAACTGGCACATGCGCAGATACGTCGAGGGGGACAGATCCTCATAGGAGACAGATTTTCATGCTACACCGGAATGGCGCGGGAACACGGCCAGAGGAACGAGCGGAGCAAAGGTAAGTGAATTGACACAGAGGGGACTTGGGGACCCAATATGGGGGATGAATTAATATGGGGAATGAATTACTATAGGGGGGATGAATTACTATGGGGGATGAATTACTATGGGGGATGAATTAATATGGGGGATGAATTACTATGGGGGATGAATTAATATATGGGGAATGAATTACTATGGGGGATGAATTACTATGGGGGATGAATTACTATATGGGGGATGAATTACTATGGGGGATGAATTACTATAGGGGGATGAATTACTATATGGGGGATGAATTACTATATGGGGGATGAATTACTATATGGGGGATGAATTACTATATGGGGGATGAATTACTATGGGGGATGAATTACTATGGGGGGGATGAATTACTATGGGGGATGAATTACTATATGGGGGATGAATTACTATGGGGGATGAATTACTATATGGGGGATGAATTACTATATGGGGGATGAATTACTATATGGGGGATGAATTACTATGGGGGATGAATTACTATATGGGGAATGAATTACTATGGGGAATGAATTACTATATGGGGGGATGAATTACTATGGGGGATGAATTACTATAGGGGGGATGAATTACTATATGGGGGATTAATTACTATGCTTACTATGGGGGAATATTATATACTTACTATGGATGACACATACACATCATTCATCTACTCTTGGTCCGGCCCCCGGGTCCAATATATGAACCCATTGCGGCCCTCAAGTCAAAAAGTTTGCACACCCCTGAACTAGATACTGTGTATACTGGTCATAAACAGAGGGAGGAGGAGATTAAGGGGTTAATGTACAGGCCACATACAGTGGGAGGATGGAGATGAAGAGGTTAAAGGAGATTTCCATAATTTATCTTGGAAAAGGACTGTGAGAACTACCTGGCATTTGGTGCTGTCCTTTCTGAAATACAGCTTATTGGGTATTATTACATCACTGCTTCTGGTCCCTGCCCTTTCTGCCTTTGGTCCCT